CATAGTTTAAATTTTCTTTCATTTAGATGCAGTATTTCTTGGGGGATTTTGTTATAACATTTAACACCGATTCCCATGAACGACTTATGTACTTTTGACAATCTAAAAAACGGCGGACTTAATCTATTCTTATGTCTAGTTTCATAATTGTGTCTGTCAGACACTTTACTAAATAAATGTAGGTTTTTCCTAACATACATAATATTTTCATAAATAAATTGACATGGAACGGTCATAATATTGATCTCCCTAAACCTTTCTCTGAGAGATTCGCGACGACCTAGGTTGTATATAGCTCTGACGGCGCGCTTCTGCAAGACAAAGATAGACTCAATGTCAGCAGCGTGTCCCCACAGCAGAATGCCATACGACATGATGCTATGGAAGTAACTAAAGTACACCAGTCTTGCCGTGTCTATATCGGTTAACTGACGGATTTTCCAGACAGCATAAGCTGCAGAGCTTAATCGTCCCGCTAGAGATGTAATATGAGGACCCCATTGTAATTTGTCGTCTACAGTAATTCCCAGGAAAATAGTCTCTTTTACAAATTCCAATTTCTCACTATTCAGTAATATGTCACATTCGTTATTTTTAACGTTTGGCAAAACAAATCTAATGCATTTTGTCTTTTTATCATTCAGCACTAAATTATTTATTGTAAACCAGTTTTGAACCTTCATCAGAGCACTATTTACATCGTCGTAATTATTTGTACGTCTATTTATTTTAAAAACCAGTGATGTGTCATCAGCAAATAATACCATCTGTGGTTCATTCCGGAATAAATGCGGCAAGTCATTTATATAAGCCAAAAATAGGAAAGGGCCTAGTATTGAGCCCTGCGGTACACCCATAGATATGCTAGCACCCTGTGAGTTTACCTTATTTACTTGCACCTTAAGTTGCCTATCCCGAAGGTATGACTTTAATAGATTTAGCGATACCCCTCTAATGCCGTAGTGTTCCAGCTTCAGCAAAAGCGTTTCGTGCTCAACACAGTCAAATGCCTTCGAAAGATCACAGAATATTCCAATTGCATCCTGTGCTTCTTCCCATGAGGCAACAACACGTTTTATCAAAGCTACTCCTGCGTCAGTAGTGCAGCGTCCCCTGGTGAACCCGTATTGTTGATCATGAAAGATAGAATTCGTGTTAAAGTGGCGCAGCATCTGAACAAGCATCAGTCTCTCAAACACTTTACTAAGCACTGGCAAAATAGAAACCGGCCTATAGTTATTAGGTTCCGCGCTATCACCGGATTTAAACAATGGAACTACTTTACTGTGCTTCATCAAATCCGGAAAAACCCCTTGATCTATGCTTTTATTAAAAATGAAAGCTAAATGAGGCGCTATAGTCTCTATAAAAGCCCTACACACCCTAACCGACATTCCCCAGAGATCTTCAGTCGACTTAACTTTGATATCTTTAAACGCTTTAATGACTGCTTGGGGGTTTGTGTACTGAAACCGAAAAACAGAAGGGCATTCTTTAACATTACTTTTAAGAAGCTCCACTGAAAGAGTTGGAGATGATTTCAACGCTTCTGTAGTTTTAAGCGGTATATTTTTAAAGAAATTTTCAAATTCCTGGGCAACTTTCGAATTTGTACTAATGCGTCCATTTTCGGTATTTAAATTAAATTCAGCATTACGTGATTTATTTCTACCTGTCTCGTTATTAATTATATTCCAAGTAGTCTTTATTTTGTTTTCCGCGGTCCTAATTTTGCTGCTAATATGAAGGGCTTTTGCATGTTTACAAACTAATTTGAATATTTTTGAGTATCTGGAGACATAGCTGTGAAAAGTCTCACTATTATTAAATGGTTTCATACCATAAAGCTCAAACAACTTTCCCCTACTTTTACGAATACCTGGTGTAGCCCAGTCACAGAATACAAATTTACATTTAATGTTTTTACTTTTTAAAGGGAACATTTTATCAAACTGTGTTTTAATAATGGACAATAAGTTGGCATAAATCTCACTTGGGTATTCACTATCACATATTTGGCCGCATAATTCATTACTTAAGTTGTTATTAAATGACTCAATTTTTTTAACCGTGATTTGTCTGAACATAATTTCCCTTTTTTGTATAGTTGGGATAGTGTCAAAATTTACTATTAGCCCACTGTGATCAGATGGTAATATATTTACAATGTCTTTATGTAAATAATCACAGTTACAAAAAACATTATCTATACATGTTGCCGAGGTGGAAGTTACTCGGGTGGGTTCCAGGAAAACATTAGACAAATCAAAAGATCTAAAGAGGCTTAACAAGTTAGTACAATTAGAATTTCTTTCCAAGAGATCAATATTAAAATCGCCACATGTCATAGGCCATAAACCGTATACATATAAAGTGAACACGCTGGCCAATGAAGTGGAATGTTTTTTTTTACTTCAGCCGTGGCCAGTTTGGTTCGTTCTGTTCTGATTCCGAGGCCTTATAACAAAAAAAAAAAACAAAAAATATTAAGTAAAAAAGTCCACACCAAGCTTTATTTTATTCCTTGAAATTGTTTATAAACATTTATTATACAAAATATACAAAATATTTCTGACAAGTAAATGAAGAAATATGCATTGTGTATGGTCACCATCAACAAAATGACAGGTATAATATACCACTATTTTCACATCTTTGAACTGATTTAACTCGGTTTGGACTGAGTTTTTGATATAAGACCCCATATATTTTTTTGTTTGTAATATTATTCTGCATCAGTTTTTCCACATCCGATCAACTGTCGCGAAAAAATTAAAAGGCACCACGCTCCATACAAATTTGATCATTGTCATTTTGCATCGCCAATGGAATTTCGTGTTCGGAGTCACTGAAAATGTTACACACTGAAAGCTTACGGTGAATCGACTTTATCAAAAACTCGTGCTTATGAAGCGAATTCAAAGCGTTCAAAAGCGGTCGAGATGTGATAAAGTCACGAGTCGATCCGTACCATTTTAACTAATCATTTAGTCACAGTCTTAAAAAATCTGAATTTTCTCCAAAAACTCAATCGCATGAAAGTCGCTGAGGACATGCTAGAACGAGTCAGTTCGGACCCAACATTCATGAAACGCATTGTTACTGGTGACGAGACGTGGGTTTACGAGTTTGACATGCAAACTAGTCAACAAGCTTCGGAGTGTCGCCTTCCAATTGAACCGAAACCTGAAAAAAACTACGCCAAAGTCGATCAAAATTCAAAGTCATGTTGACTGTTTTCTTTGACTATCGCGTTGTTGTGCACTCTGAATTCTTGCCGAAAGGTCTAACGGTAAATAAATATTATTATTTGAGCATTATGATGATTAAGAGAGCAAATTTCATGTCATTGTCATTGTCATTTAATGTTCCGAAAAAGTCGGTTCGATTTAACCCACCAATTGCTGTCCCAACTTCTTCCTCAAATTATAGACAAAATTCCTATATTGTGCGAGTGAGTAGGAATTATAATAGATTGTGCAAGGATTTAGGACTTGATCCATTTACCACAAGCAGTTCCAAGGTGCGTAGGCGACTAAACCTAAAGTTTTTTGAATGACTATCCATGTTTTATACTTTTATGTGCATTGCATTCGCAAAACCTCTGTAAAGATACACTATAGCTAGACGTGGAAACCTATAATTGGCTTTGTATTGGCATATTCTGAAACTTTATTATTTGTTTTATAGCTGTTGGTTACCCGAATTAAAATAAATAAAAAAATAAATAAAATAAATAAATAAATAAATAAATTCGACGAAAAAGGCCAGATTTGTGGAAAGAAAATTCTTGGATTTTGCACCACGACAATACGCCTTCGCACAAGGCTATTATTGTGAACGAATTTTTGACCAAATACTCAATAAATATCATCCAGCAACCACCATATTCACCAGATATGGCTCCTGCTGACTTTTTTCTTTTTCCTAAACTCAAATTACCACTTCGTGACACCCGTTTTTAATCGATAGAATTATTCGTTGGCGCAAGTGTATCGTTTCTAAAATACCATACTTTGAAGGTGATAAAATAAATTTGGATGAATAACAGACATTTTGTGTATTATTGATCTTTTCCCGGTACTTTCTTGACAGAGTAGTACAGCTTATTTCTTTATTACAAACAAATTAGTCCCAGAAACATGTACCAGCAATGTGTATTGTTGCAGGCCTCCAGTCGGATCCGAACTACCGCGAGGTCCTGAACAGCGTGACGGGGGTCCGCCTGAGCGCGCAGCTGGTGGACGCGGTGGGGTCGCACGCGGCCGCCGACGTGCACTTCGTGGCGCACTACAGCGACAACAACCAACACATACGGATCGCCACCTCCACCACCGACGCCAGGGTACATAACATGACTTCACTATCACTACATAGTATATAACAAACTCGCTATCCGCCGTCTGTCTGTCTCTATGTATGCTTAGATCTGTAAAACTGCGCAACTGATTTTGAAGCGGTTTTTTTAATAGATAGAGTGATTCTTAAGGAAGGTTTATATGCATATTTCACCCGTGCGAAGCAGGGGCGTGTCGCTAGTACCACATAAAACAAAGAAAAAAAAGAATGATTTCACACAGACATGGTAAAGTGCAGAGTAATAGGCAATAGTAGTAACGTTATAAATATACATTAATATTTTGTAACTAGTCGCCTACTGTTTTATAAAAGTGCTAAGTTTTTGAATTTTCACGTCAATTTCAGACTCTTTTGTAAAATAAGAAATTCATGAACTTTAAAATATAAATCACTAGCTGTTGCCCGCAACTTCGTCCGCGTAGAATATCTGCATCTCTGGCAGAATTTACACTTTTGAATTAGCCTTTATCAAGAGAATATTCTACGATAACGAATGTCATAATTGATTCAGTACCTAGTATAGGACTCCTCCCCCGCCGATGATAGCGTGATAATATGTAGCCTATATGTCGACCTGACTTGTTAGTAATATTCATGCAAAATTTGAAGTAAATGCAGTACTTTTTGAGATCATCCCGGACATACATACAGACAAACAGACAAAAATTCTATAAACCATATTTTAGCTTCGGTTTCGATTGTAGATCACGCTCCAAGTATTCTTTTTAAAAAATATTCAATGTACAGTTTTGAATTTTCTACGATTTTATTAAATGTATAGATATATAGATAGATAGATAGATAATCAATGCCGAAATGGGCACCTTGTTTTTGAGGGAACAAAATCATCTAAGGTCTTCTCCCGCCTTGGGTGAGGCGAAAGGGAGTGTCTCTTACTCTTACTGACTAAATACCACCCCGTTCCTGCTTCGCATTCGGCATTTTCAAAATTTTCTTTCACTTTTCATCTAGGTGGGCGAGTACATAATATTCCACGTACAAAGCAACTTCTACATGGAGTCGTTCAACTACGTGGTCATGTCCAAAGGCATCATCCTCACCAGTGGACAGGAGATCATGCAGGTATGTTTTATTCTTAACAATAAAATATATAAAACATTAAATGTGGGAGAGCCATGCTTCGACACAAACCACGCTTGCGTTGTGTTTCGTCGTATGAGTGGATGTTACCGGAGATCCAATTACGCCCCCTCCCCAGTCTCCCCAATCCCCGAATCCGCCACAATCCTCAAATTTCCAATTTCCAAAAGGCCGGTAACGCACTTGTAACGCATTGGTGTTTCGGGTGGGCGGTGCCGATTGCTTACCATCAGGTGTCCGTCTGCTCGTTTATTGGCTTACGCCATAAAATAAAATAAATATGGTCACTTTCTGTCCTATGCCATAAATATCTTATTTGCGTGGTTGTATTTCCCAGGAGGGTGTCCGTACATTTGCGGTGACAGTATCAGCAGAGATGGCGCCAGTGTCCACTGTCCTCGTGTGGAGCGCTGAGCGAAGGGGACATGTACTGGCTGACTCATTGACATTCCCAGTCAACGGCATCTCCAGGAACAATGTGAGTGGAATTTGTACAATTTATTAGTTAACTAAAATGTTTTTCAATCAACTATCTTGTGTAGTGATGTGTAAAGTTCATAATCAAGTGTTCATTTGTGTTTGAAGCAGTATGCTTCAAACGGTTGATTTCGATAATCGATATCAATTCCAGATCATTAGATTATTTAGGACGATTTTTGAAATTATTTGTATGGAGTGTTTGTCAAAAATTAAGATCTAATCGTTAGCTAGCAAAACTTGATAAACCTGCAGATTTAAGATTATTATTATTTTTCCTTAATTATTCTTTTAAGGTAGTTGTTCTCTAATCTAGCAAATCATTAACCTGTTCTGTGTTACTAAACACGATAACCGCACGGTTGGTGCGGTGGCTGGGCAACTGACTGCCGCGCAATCGGGTTGCCGGGTTCGATTCTCGCACGAAGCAACTCTTTGTTTGATCCACAGATTGTTGTTTCGGGTGTCAAGTGTATGTGAACTTGTATGTCTATAAACGCACCCACGACACAGGAGAAAATCCTAGTGTGAACAACTCTCTTTTTATAAAAGAAAAAAGTGTGTCGCCGCCACATCTGATTGACGTGAAGTATGTCCGTCGTCCCAGTTCACAGTGTTCGTGAACAACCGCAAGCACCGCACGGGCGAGCGCGTGGAGGTGGCCATCTACGGGGAGCCCGGGGCATACGTCGGGCTCTCCGCCATCGACAACACCTTCTACACCATGCAGGCCGGGAACGAACTCACATACGCCAAGGTACGACTGCACTTCCAAGTCAT